GGGGGGGGGGGGGGGCGCAGGATGAGGTGTGATCTGAGAGGCAGGGAAGTAGCTGCCCTGCAGCCCAGTGGAATGGGGATGCGCCTGTGACATGTGGGGTGGCCTTCCAACAGGCAGCTCAAAACACATTGCTGGGGCTCGGGGTGAAGGGCTGGGGTCCCCCAGGACCAGAGGAGGCCATGAGCATTACTGGAGGTAACAGTGGCCAGAGACAGAGTGGGGAGTGAAGAAAGGCCTTCATTCTAAAGGACAGAGGAGAGGGGGCCGTGCTGTCACTGAGAGAGGTTGCAAGCCCAGACTCTAGGCTCAGGTCAGATGGCTTCTACTCCCGGCTCTGCCAGCTGGGTGACTCAACTGGGGACAATAGCAGAACCACCAGTAATAATAAACGAGGTCATGTATGTAAAGCTCACATCCCAGGCACGAATTAGCACCCCTGATGTATCTGTGAGGGTTTTACCATTTAGAGCAGTATGCAAAGGAGACAGAAATGGGCCACCAGAGAGGTGGGACATCTGGGAGCACGTGTGGACCCCAGGAGAAGGATAAGAGAATGGGAGACCCATGGTGCCCACTGTGACAGAGGCCTGAGCAAGGGAGAGGACACAGCTTTGTTCCTGGAGGCCTCACCCCTCTCCATCTCTAAGCTTCCATTCAGGGCCATGTGAGCCAGCCTTGCAAACAGTGCGGAGCTATGCCACCCGTGGGAAGGGTCACAGGCAGCCACTGCCTCCTTGGAGGTGAGTTCTTATTGGACAAGAGCAGTTCAAGTCCAAGTTCTCTCCTTGTGAGCTGAGTGATCTTATAAATTATTGAGCACCACGCTGGGCACACAGGAGATGCTCAACAAATGTTGAGCAAATGTCATTATGATTATCATAAAAACACAGATGCCCAAAAGCCCAGCACTGCACAGTTTACAAAGCTCTTTCACGTCCAGTATTTGTTCTACTAAACAAGGATGCTTGTTCCCATTTCACAGAGATGGAAACCAAGGTTCAGAGAGAGAACCTTTTCAAAGCTTCACAGCCCGTCATCAGCAGCCAGCACTCGAACCCAGGTCCTGGGATCCAGACCACTTGCTTTTCAACCAATGCTCCCAGACACCTCCCTGTTCATTCCCGTGGGAAAGCTTCCTGGCCACAGGCATGGGGGCAGCCACAGCCCCACAATAACGCCATCTCCCATCACACCCGCCCCAGGGCCCAGGGGGATGGCATTGCCCATGTGACTCAGCCACAGTCACAAAGGGAGCTGTGTGCCCTGTGCCCTAGGCCTGCCTCCCCCACCCTCTGCTCATCCCCCAGCGGGAGAAGCAGGGCTCCTGACAAACCCAAGATGTGGGGAGAGCAGGAGGAACTGTCGCCCATTAAAATGGGACAAGTCTAATGGAGATTCAAGCCCAGGCTTGGGGTGCGAGAAGCTGGCGCAGCTCCAATGATGTACTATAAGGCCCGGGTCCAAGCCTGCGTTCTGAGACCTTATTTGGAGTTCCAAGGACAGGCTCAGCCTCATTGGCTCTCTCTGGGGTGGAGCCCAGGCAGGGGCCCTGCCCACTTTTACCTGGATCAGGTTTCAAAAGCACGGGCTTGTGAGAGATAAAGTCACCTCTTTGTGCCAGCCAGGCTCCTGTGTCCACACCTGTCCCCAGCATTGACTTCTCGCCACCCCTTCCCCTGAAGTGTTCAGACCCCGAGTCCATGTGCCCCTATTAAGCGTTGACTGTGTGGAAGGCAAATGACTTGGTATTTTTCCTACACTCTGTCTAGGATCCCTTGCCCTATTTGCTCAGAGGGGGAAGGGGGCCAGCCCCAAGTCACCCAGGATTTGAGCCAGGATCTGACTTTAAGGCCGGTTTCCTCCCCCTTCCTGGTTCCAGTGGCATCTTGACCACTTGCCAACAAGAAGTGACCTTGGGCCCAGCCCAGAGAGGCAGGCAGGCAGACATCTCCCCCGCCATAGGAACCCTATGCCTGTCCTGCTGGAAGGGGGGCACTACAGACTACAAGCCCTTAGGTAGAGTTCAGGCTGGCTGGGCCTCCCAGGGCCACCCCTGCTGATTTCCCAGGAGGTGGGCACGCCTGGGTGCCCAGCTGCCCGAGGGAGAAGGTACACAGGGCAGCCGCCCCCTCTTCCCAGGCATGACGGAATGTCTGACCTCAGCCCAACCCCCCACACGCACTTGGCAGGAGGGTTGGATCCAGCCCGAACAGGCCTGGGAGGTCACTGTGGCCACCCTCCTGCCTCCCAGCCTTCCGAAGTCCCTGAGATGGAGCCCCCAAAGAGGGCCACAAGCCCTCTCACCATTCCCATGCCAGTCAGCCTGGCCACTCCTGCCATGGGAAGCAGGTACAGGGCCGAGCATCCAGAGGCCTGGGGAGCCTCGGCCATAGTAAGTGTCAGGAGATTGGAGCTGGGTGAGCTCGGTCCCCGCAGCCAGAAATGCAGCCCTTCCTGGGGGTATGACAAAGGCAGGACTGGTCTTCCCAAGGGGACCCTTGGCACCCTGCTCAGCCCTAAGGGAGACCGGCGACTGTGAGGCTCCAAACTGCCCCTCGCCCCATCTAGACTCCTCCTAGCATTTCCCCAAAGCCTTTAAAATAGCACAGCATGAAATTGTCCAGATCCGAGCAGTCTGTGCCTCAGTACCCGCAGGTGCAAGTGGAGACACCAGGCCTTTCTGGCAGGTGGACAATAACAGGTGCCTGCCATTATCCTGGGATTTCTTTTAAATGCAAATTCCCCCAATGCAGGAAGTGTAGGGGGGTTTCTAACTCCTTCACTGGAGGCTCCCTTCTGGGCCAGGAGGTCCAGACAGGCCATCCCAGCTGCTGCTCGTGTCCCCATGGTTGTGCCCCTGTCAGCAGTTCCTGGGCCCTGGCCTGTGAGGTTTTGGCGGCAGCTGCTCAGATGTCTAAGACTAGGTCCAGGTGTCTGTGGTAGGCAGTGGGGCATTGTCACTCCCATGCCAAGGGAAGCAAATGTGGCCCAGACAGGTTTATGGACCAGCCTCTCTGTGTGCAGATGGCAGCCTTTGCTTCATTGTCTTGAGGGTGGCAGTGTGCCATCTCATTTGACTGCCACAGGGTCCGCAGGGCCCAGGATCTTGACTTTGACCTCCCCATGTGCCCATCCCTACTCCTACACACACACCGATTGGTGCCCAGCAAAGATCACTGTTTAGGTGTGGCTGCAGGAAATCACATGGGGAGTCATAAAGAAGGTGCCTCAGTTTCCTCACATGAAAACCCGGGCTGCCACCATGCCTCTTTTGGTAAATAAGGAATTGGAGTTGAGTGTACTTTGTGGAAACCCGTGGAGCACCCAGCCTTGCCCCGGGAGACACCCCTGATACCACCAGGAGCACCCCGGCAGCCAGGGCGCCCCCAGGTCTCCCACTAAGTGCTGGGGCGCAGATGGCTCAGGAGGTGTAATGGAGAAAGGATGACAGCTACTCATTAGCAGGGGTGGTCTAATTAACAGAGGGACCGTAGGGGGACATTCTGCTGCTCATACACTCCAGGGAGCCACACTGCGGGGGCAGAGCTGGTCCAGCGCCAGGGCTCCGCGGCCGACACTACAACCTCCCTCTGTCTGGCTGACGCGCGTGGGGCCAGGAGCCGGTTTGCAGGGGTGGGGGCTGGAGGTGCGGGGCTGCTGCTCCAGGCTGTTTTCAGAGCACTGCCCCTGCCCACCTCCCTTGTGGGAAATGAGGAAGCAGCCCAGAAAAGCAAGGCCTGGCCCGGGGTCCCACAGCAGCCACCGGCAGGGGGCCCTTTTCCATCAGAATGGCCCCTGTCTTGGAGTGTCCTCACTCACTGTTTAGGAGTCTCGTCACAGCGGCCTGGCCCAGGGACCGTGAGCGGCCAGTCGGGAAGCAGTTTTACTCTCACCTCCTGCCCCTCGCAGCCAGGGCGGGAAGGGTTGTGCTGCTGGAAGAGGCTGGAGGACCCCAGGCTGGCCAGACCGGGCAGGCACAACCCCAGGCCTTGCCCCTGCCCCTTCCACTCAGCTCACCAGGGGAGGCTGCCTTCGTCTTCCTTGTCAAGATTAAACAACCCGGGCCAACCTGCTCCCAAACCGGTTTACCATGGGATCTGAGCAGGAAACAGGCTCTGGGCACTGGGGGCGAAAGCAGGCACAGGCTCTGCCTCCCCATCCAAATTTCAGGGTGCACAGCCTCCCCCTGGCTCTTAGCCGCTTGCAATCCCCCCAGCTGGGCACTGGGAGCACACCCTGCACCCTGCCAGCTTCCATGCGCCACAATGACCACCACAAGAGCATGCCCAGCTTACACTCGGAGCCGCAGGGGCCACCCTAGGACAGCCAGGGCCCCCAAATCAGCCCAGAACCCTGAGCAGCCTCAGGATCAGGCCTCATACATACCTTCAGGCCATTGAACTAGACCTCGGGCCAGCCAAGGTCAAGTGGAACAGGTGGAGAAGTCACACCCTGCTGACCTTTCTGTCCCCCACACCGAAAGCCGCAGCTTCTTACCTTGATGTTGAAGCAGAAGCTGCCTCCTCCCCTTCTACCTCCTCCCAGGGCTCCCAGCTCCCAGACGGAGCTTGTCTGGGCAGGTGGCCACAGGTGAGGCTCCGCCTGTCCATCTGGCACCATTTCCGGCTGGCCCGCAGCCGTGGCCGCCACCTCCCTCTCACTCCTAGGTTTCCGTGCAGGGGCTGACCTGGCCCCTTGGGTGCTGAGCACCCCCCTCCCATCACCTCAGACCTCCACGAGCTTTTGGCACCACTACCCAGGGACACACGGGCTATGGACCCATCGATGGCCCCTGGATGAGGCTGGTGGGGGGGAGGTGTCATTGAATGTCTCTGAGCCTCAGTAGCACCCCCAGGGCAGCATGCTGTTCCCCATATGTAATGACTAACTGCGAGTTCCTTCTTGCCTCTTCCCTGAGTTCAGGACCCACCTGAAGTCTGAGCCCAGACTAACCTACCTGCAATAAAAACAAGACAACAGCCCACAGATGGCTGGAGGCAAGAGGCATGGGGTTCAGGGGAGTGGGGAGTGGGGGGTGGGGCACAGTGCCTGCTTTCAGAGCATCCAGCCTTCTGCGGGACACAAAGCGAGAATGAGACACAGGGTGGGGGCAGCTGCTCTCGGTATCCCAGGGGGTACAAAGGGGAGTGGTCCAGGCAGGTTCTGCCCCATCCAAGAGGTCCCCACAGAGATGCTGGCCACAGCCTTCCCAGACTCCTCCTGGACCACTGGCTCCAGCCCTGCCTGGCCAGCCCCCGCACAACCCTTCACATCGCCCTTTCACCCCTCTTCCTCCTGGCAAATTTTCAACTGCCGATGCTATCTCTGCTCGGCCTGTGGGCATGCATGCCTGCTCTGCTCAGCATGAAGCTGTGTCCCCCACCCCCACAAGCGGGGCACAGATGAGGGGGCACCAGGAGAGACAGTGTCTGAGAGCAAAGGGGGTCAGCAGGAAGACAGCTTGCCTCCTAAAACCGCGGAGTTTCCCCAGGGCCCTGAGAGCTTCGCCCAGAGATGCCACCCACCCCGATAAGGACACCAGGGGAGTCCCTGTGATTACCCCACTCCCAACACCCACACTCCATTCCCCTACCTCACCTCATTCTGCCCTCAAGGCCCCTGGCATGTGGTGCAATCACCAAGCCCTGCCAAGCAAGCAGCAGTGGCTATGGCTGGAGCCCTGGGCTCCAGCCCTCACTCGCTGGGTACACTTGGGAAGGTCGCTTAACCTCTCTGTACCTCAAGTCACCCATTACATTGAGAAACACGTGCTTTGCCCTGCTTGCCCTTCAGAGGAAAAGGGAAGAGTAGGGGGGTGGTCAGGAAGGTGCCTTGACAGAGCAGGGATCTGAGGAGCATCTGTGGGGTTGGGAGCTTGGTCTTTAGGTCCCCTCATCCAGGACCTCGACTCCTCACTACACCCTAGGAGGCAGGAGCCCCTTTTTAATGCAGGTTTTACTGATAAAAGTGGAGGTGGGAGCTTGGGAGGGGTGGGGAATGTTAAGTAACACATCTGAGGTCATACCCAGGCAGTCTGATCCAGGCCTCCCTCTGCTCACCCTCCACCACTCAGTGGGGAGTCTCAGGAAATGCAGAGCCCCTTACTCATCTGGGTATGAGGGGAGTGTGGAGGGGCATGAAGGGCCCCCATCTCTGACATCTCATCCTCTCACAGGACCTCAGGCTCAGTCTCCACACTCCCTTTGAGAGCTAATGCTGCCCACAAAGTCAGAGAGTGAGCTCCCTGTTTCTAGGGAAAACCAAGGAGGCACTCAGGCAGAGTGTTCCAGAGAAGACACCTGCCACATTCACAAGGGGACTAAATGGGCTCTAACATCATTTCTGTTCAGGCAGGCCAATTTTTATTAATTCACATCTTGGTTCACTGAATTGATATTTGCAGAACAACTACCAGCTGCCAGGACCTTGTGTTTTAAGAAACAAACTGCCCACAGGGCAGGCAGCAGAGCTGTGACTGGGAGTGGGGATCCCAGCTCCACTTGCCAGACAATTTAGCTCCCTTGGCCTGGGTTTGCTTTTCTGCACAGTGGGGGTAATAGCGTATCTCTCCATAACGTGTGAGGTTAAATGAGAAAATGCTGAAGTGCTTCCAATTGTGGCCGGTTCAAGGTGAGGACCCAGTGAGTGTTTGCCATCCATGTCCAAATGCAGAGGGGGATTTCAATCACTGATCTTTTTGTAAAAAATATGTTTTCATTGATTTTTGGAATAGAGAGAAAGAAACATCAATGAGAGAGAAACATCATCAATTGGCTGCCTCCTGCACACCCTCCCCCAAGGGATTGAGCCCGAAACCCCGGCATGTGCGCTGACCGGGATCCTGCCTGGGAATCAAACCAGTGACCTCTTGGTTCCTGGGTCAACCCTCAACCGCTGAGCCATACCAGCTGGGCTCAATCACTGATCTTTTGAAGCTCCTCTGGTCTTCGGTGTTCCTCTCTGTTAAATGGAATTGGCCCCTGCTCCTTCCTTTCCTTCATTTGGGCCACATCTGGAAGAAGGTGATCTCCATGGCCAGACGTGGGTGTACAAGCCCACAGCCCCAGAGCCAGACCTAAGATCAGCCCCAGCATCCTCACTGTGCTGGGACGGGCTTCCCCTCTTCAGAAAAGAGGGGGAGCCCGGCCGGGCATGGTTCGGCAGTGGAGCATCGACCTAGGATCCAGGAGATTGGGGTTCAATTCCCAGTCAGGACACAGGCCCGGGTTGCGGGCTAGGCAGCCGATAAATGACTCCCTCGTCATTGATGTTTCTGTCTGTCTCTCTCTCTCCCCCTCCTTTCCTCTCTCTGAAATCAATAAAGATATGTTTAAAAAAAAAAAAAAAAGAAAGAAAAGAAAAGAAAAGAAAAAAGAAAAGAAAAGAAAAAAAAGAAAAGAAAAGAAAAGAAAAGAAAAGAAAAGAAAAGAAAAGAAAAGAAAAGAAAAGAAAAGAAAAGAAAAGAAAAGAAAAGAAAAGAAAAGAAAAGAAAAGAAAAGAAAAGAAAAGAAAAGAAAAGAAAAGAAAAGAAAAGAAAAGAAAAGAAAAGAAAAGAGGGAAGAGAGAGCCACTGGCATTCCCCTGCTTCCCACAATGAGTTCCCTCCACCATCTGCACACTTGGTCACACTCACCTGGTTCCAGTCCTGGGTCTGCCACTCACTGGCTGGGTGGAGCTGAGCGGGTCAGGGCCCTTCTCTGAGCCTCAGCGTTCCCCATCTGTGGAATGGGGATAATAAGAGGACCCATTCTGCCATGTTTTCAATGAACCACATGAGGAGATGAGGGGCAGGAAACCACTCTGAAGCGCACTGTGCCAACCACAGGACTCATTTCACCATCCCAACAATGTGGAGGCGTATCTCTCCCCATTTTACGGATGAGAACAACACCCCACAGAAGCAGAGCAGCTCACCCAAGCCCACGTGAGTCAGTGGCACTAGGCCACACACTTAGCATTCCGTGACACCATGGAGCTGGCCTCGTATGATACCAGGGGCCCCCTCCAGGTTTGCCCCTTTTAGAGTCAACTGAGTTCTGCCAGGGTTGGGATCAGTGCAACTGAGTGGCCTCCTTCTGGGGCATTTTCAGCTGATTCGATTCTCCCCATGTCTCCTGAGTCAGCAACCAAACACGGGAACAGAAAATGGGTGCAAACCTGGGGACAGGAGTCCGCGGGCCTAGAAGAAAGAGAAGCACTGAGAGCAATCCAGCACAGCCCAGTGCAGGCCTGCCTGGCCCCTGAGTCTCTATTGGGACCAGGTGTGCCCCTCTCTGAGCCTGAAGAAACAGGCAGCTACTGAGCGTGGCTATTGGCCAAGGCTGGGCCAAGCTGCCTCTCCTCCCCTGCATCACAGGCCAGGCCTGGTCAGGAAATCAGCTGTTAACACCACAGGGTCCCGTAGACAGAGGTGACTGGGGCCCCAAGCAGGAGCCCTGTAAAAGTCCCCAAGGCAGAGAGTGGGCCAGCCTCCCACCTCTTCCAGTGGGAGACACTCTAGTTCACCCACAGTAGCTGGTTCCCACAGAGCTGGAAGGCAGGTGTCCATCCTTCCATCAGGCAGCCTGTCTGTCCATCCACCCATCAACCCTCGTAGCCTGGAGCCCCTCTGTCCAGCGTAGGCCAGCTGCTAAAGGGTAACAGTGGGCTGTAGACTTCGTCCCTCTGGGTCTAGCCTAAAGGTGGCAGGGGTGTGGGGACAGAGAGGCCATCCTGAGGAGCACGTAAACGTGGGACACTGGAGTTGGTTCAAGTTCTAGCTCTACCACACAGCAGCTGCGTGACCTTGAGGAGGTGACCTAACAGCTCCGTGCCTCAGTTTCCCCATCTGTAACCTGTTCCTACCTCGGGGGGGGGGCGGGTTGTGCGATCAACCCCAGGAAGCACAGGGCCTGGCTTCGTGTAACAAGCACTTAAGCGATGCTATTAGAAAGCAAAGCCAGCTGGCGGGATTGTGGGTGTTTCTTTCCATTTCAGAATTATTTCCATTGTGGCTGTTCTAATGTCATTTGTTCAATAAAAACAAAACAAAACTAACCCGTAAGTATCTGTGTACGTGATGTATATAAATAGAGCCCCAAACCAATATAGGGCTGCGGTGCAGCGCAGTGCCGTGCAGGCTGCTCCCAGGCGCTGTGGCCGGCCCGAAGCATGGCAGGCTGAGCGCTGTCTCTTTAGAAAGCTCACGGGGACCGAGCGGGATGCCCTCTGAGGTTATGCCACTCATATCAGAACTAAAACCTGAGCCAGAGCTCCAGCTAAGGAAATAGGGGGCGGGCAGGCCAGGCTCCTGAGTCAGAGAGGGTGTCTGTGTTTCCAGGTCAGCCCAGCACAGGCAGGGCTCAGGCACGGCTCACGCTCGCCTCTCCCTCTGGCAGACTCATTTCCCTCAGTGCTCACCCTGCCCCGCCACAGCCCCAAGGGACGAAAGTCTCATGGAAGAGGCAGCCACACCTTCCCAATTTGCTTTTCCGCTGGTCCCTGAGCTCCTGGGACCCTGAATTTTGCATT